GGTTAGCTAGTCAGAATCATCCCACTTGGTCCTCATTGTCCAGCCTTGGGACTAGGCCCCTATGCCTTACCAGAGAACTATTAACTAGCCTGGTAAGTCAGTCAGATCTAGCCCACTCAGTTGACATTGCCTTTCTTTGGGACTTTCCCTGTTCATTCATGTTGTTCAAAGGCTCCCATCTGCCCTACTTAGCTTGTCAAAACCCAATCGCTTAGCTCCCGTTGTACTTGCTTAGAACTAGGCCCCTTCATGCTACTGGAGAGTTCCTGACTAGTATACCAGCCTTCCCTACCAAAAGAAAAAAAATGACAACCTGAGCACAGACCAACTAATTATTCATACCTGATCAGAAAACAAACAAGCTAGGAAAATAATAAAAACAGAACCAAACTTCAACTCAACAAAGTTAAGTAAGGATTGTGTATCAGACACACAAAACAAGGAAGTCTGTATGAACAGGTCACAAATATGAAATGACAAATATAATATGTTCCCAGAAAATACCACTAATCTTATAGAACTGTTCAACAATGAGAGGTAACCAGAGGAACCCCAAGACCTAGAACTTGAAAGAATAATTATATACACAACCACAGAATTCAAGGATTTTTTTTTTTTTTTTTTTGGTTTTTTAGAGACAGGATCTCCCTGTAGCCCCGGCTGTCCTGGAACTCACTATGTAGACCAGGCTGGCCTTGAACTCACAGAGATCTGCCTGCCTCTGCCTCTTGAGTGCTGGGATTAAAGGCATGAGCCACCACGCCTGGCTAGAATTCAAGGATTTTAAAGAATACAAAAGCAAGCAACACAAAGAATTCAAAGTGGATAGGAATAAACTTCAGACTGACGCTCAAGAGGATACAAATACATGGCAGCACATAATGACAAAGACAATTCAGGACTTGAAAAGTTAATTCATGAAAGAAGAAAATTCAAGCTGAAACAAAAATGGAATTGAAAAGCTCAACAAGCCAATTTGAAACAACAGGTGGGAGCTACACCAGCAGAAAGATTCAAATGGAAAACAGAATATCATAAATGGAAAATAAAGTTGGAGAACTGGACTGCTCAATAAAATAATATGAAAAACTAAAGAAAAATCAAATGAATGGAATATATAGGAAATGTGAGACAACACGAAAAGAGTAAATCTATGAATTATAGACACGAAAAATAAAGATTGTCAGGTCAATAGCATTGAGCAGATCTTCAACAGGATTATAGAATAAAAGAAAACTTGCCTAAATTAAGGAAAGACATACCTCTACAGATATAAGAAGCAAGTTGAACACCAAATAAACAATATCAGAATGGAAACCCCCCGAAGGCATAACACAGTAAAAACAATGAATGTACAGAACAAAGACAGGGTCCTGAGAGCTACTGGAGAAAAATCATTACATATAAGGGAAAAAATATCAGAATTACAACTGGCTTTTCAATGCGAACTACAAAAGTCAGAAAAGCCTAAAGCAAAGTGTTGCAAGTTCTAAATGGCCATAGATGTCAACTCAGAACACTTAACCCAGCAAAGCTGCCTATCATAGTCAAAAGAGAAGGAAATATCGTCCATGATACTAATAGGCCAAAAGAATTCATGTCTACAAATTGATCAAAAAGGAGAATATTCAAAGCAATACAAAGCACTGAAGAAAGAAATAATCATATCCAAGAGGTTACAGAAAAAAAGAAAAAAATGAAGACATAGTTAAAGGAATGAAAAACAATACTAAGAACACAAAGAGAAAATAAAATGACAATAAACAATACATATCTCTCAAAAATATGTTTAAATATCAATGGCCTCAAATCATTGGAAGGTAATACTTTAAAAACCTATATGCTATTAAATTAGAGGCTTTAAAAGAAATAAACAATTTACTAAATTCAATGTAACTACTTAAGTTAATCCCAGAAGAGATCAATAACTTAAACAGATCCCTAAAAAAATATAGAAACCAGCTGCATGTGGTGGCACACACCTTTAATCCCAGTACTCAGGAGGCATAGTCAGGTAGATCTCTATGAGAATGAGGCCAGTTGGTCTACATAGCAAGGTCCAGACCACCTGGAGCTACAAGGAGACCTTGTCTCAAAAAAAAACCATTAGGAAGAAAGAAAGAAAGAAAAGAAAGGAAGAAAGAGAGAGAGAGAAAAAGAAAGAAAAAGAAAGAAAATAAAATTGTAATACAAAAAAGCACAGGTGTAGATGGATTTATAGCAGAATTTTATCAGCACTTCAAAGAATCTACATCCAATACTGATTAAATTATTAAAATGATACAAACAGAGGGAGTACTCCAAAACTACTTTCATTAAACTGCTGTTATTCTAATACTAAAACCAGGTTAATAAACACAAAAAAATTAAGCTATAGAGCCATACCCCTGAAGAACAGAAATGCAAAAGTTCTCATCAGAATACTCCACAATAACATACAGACAATAATAAAAGATCAATCTAGAGATTTAGATAGGCTAAAGGTTACATTTAGTATTTTATCATATAGTAAAATCTAGATTTTATCATCTAGAAATACTAGAAAAGGAAAACAGTATTGTTTAAGAATCAAAGCAAGAAAACTTACAAAGGATAAATTATAGCATTAAATAATGATGAGATCAATTATACAAGAAGACATTTTATTAAATATATATGAACCTATTAATCCTAAGCATATATTGCTAAAAATATGTAATGCAAAACTGAAGGAGCTGAAATAGACATAAATGATTAGACAAAACTGGTGATGATGGAATCAAACTAAAGCCCTCCCAGGTCAAAGTGGATTCAAACCAAGTCCCCCAGACCAAAGAAGAATATTTTGGGAAGCTGTACAAGGAAGTAAGATGTAAATAATTCTAACTGCTGAGAAAGAACTGACCTTTTCATGCTCCGTGCACAAGCTGGAAATCACCTGAAACTTCCCCCTCCCACTTCTGCCGCTTACCCGAAACTACCCCCTCCCACTTCTGCTGCTTGTGGTTTGTGGTTTTTGCCTTTAAAAGAAGCCTGTAAGCTGAGCTCTGGGCTGCTGGTCTCTCTCGAGTGAGGCAGGAGCCCGTCTGCGCAAACGATTAAATCCTCTTGCTTGTTGCACCTCCTGATCTGAGGACTGAGTTATCGGGGTGCGGCCTCCCGTGGATATTGGGTACCCCAGCCTGGGGGAGGTTCCTACATTTGGGGGCTCATCCGGGATTCGGTTGCCCTCAGACCCATTTCCTCATATCAGCAGGAGGGTCTGAACAATTGTGCCTGTGCAGGACCTGTAAGTCTGTATTTTGGAAACCAGTGGGAGTGGCAGACATGCCCAGAGACCCCTGGTTCTGACACTCTGGCCTTAGGGACCGGAGTGGTCTGGAGTGGGAAGGACGGTGAAGCTTTCCTTCCCCTGAGAGAAGAAGGGAGCTTGGCTTGGCTTGGCTACTCCCCTCCCACTCTGTACTTTCAGTTCTTGAGTTAAGAAGCGCGCGCCAAGGATTCTCTGTTCTGTGTATTGTCTGTGTCTGTGTTTAGGCATCCCAAAAGTAAAAATGGTGGGTGCAGCGTGTGTCTGAGTGAAAGAAGGACCGTTCCACACGAATGTGATTTAATGTGGTATGTATGCTTGATGGTTGTGTTAATTACGTAGAGGAAGGTCTGGTTTTGTAATTTTCTCAATGCTCTTTATTTTAAACTTTCCTTTCCTCCTTTTTTCCTTCCTTTTATTCTCAATCTGAGTCTTCGCGTGGGACCGTTAAAGGCAAAAGAGCAATTGAGGCTTTCTGGTCAGGGCTACTCCCTGATGTAAGCCAAAGGCTCTTAGCCCTCTTAGCAGACCCCGACTGCCTGTATGGGTAGAGACAAGACGGCTTTTCTGTATCTCCCTCTCCTCTCCGTTTCTCTCTATCTGGCCACTGAAAAAGCCCCGCAGGCACGGGTAGAGCAAATAAGAGCCATAGGGCACTCGCCGCTAAAAGACTCCCATGAAAGGATAAGGGGGTCCCAGGTGTGAATCTACGGGTGGAGACAAGGCAGCTCTTCTGTATCTCCTTCTCCTCTCTGTTTTTCTCTCTCTCTGGCCACTGAAACAGTCCCGTGGGCACGGGTTGAGCAAATAATAGCCATAGGGCGCTCGCCGCTAAAAGACTCCCGTGGAAGGATAAGGGGGTCCCAGACATGAATCCCAGATAAATTCACGTCCCCTGCAGAAGAAAAACTGGGCAACATTAGGTACTTGTTCATAAGCACACCCACTGGTCATTATTATTTGGAGTGGCATATTCTCACTTTCTTTCCTTCTTACTCTCCCCCTCTCCTGTCTGTGACCTCCACTATGGATCAATCGCTTACCCCCTTAAGCTTAACTCTGGAACACTGGAAGGAGGTTGTGGAACAGGCCCACAATTTATCACTGGAGGTCCAGAAGAAGAAATGGCAGAATCTCTGTTCCTCTGTATGGCCCTCTTTTGTAAAAGGATGGCCAAGGGATGGGACTTTTGACCTTGCTACTATCTTGCAGGTTAAGGAATACATTTTCCACCCAAGACAACACGGACATCCGGACCAGGTGGCCTACATAGTCACCTGGGAAGACCTGGCCCGGAACCCCACATCTTGGTACGGCCATTCCTACCTCCTAGGGGAACTGGAGAGACAGACCAGGGGCCTCCTAGCCGTTCCTACCTCCTAGGTGAACTGGAGAGACAGACCAGGGGCCTCCTACTTCTTCCCTCCTGCCCCTTCAGTCTTCTCCTGAGAAGAAGAAGCAAAATCCAGTCCTCCCCAAGGACCAAGCTTCCCTAAGCCTCCTTGATCCTCCACCTCCTTATCCACCTGCATAGGCACCTCCACCCCAAGAACTACCTTATCCCTCTCCTGATTCCACAGAACCTTCTGAACCTGACAAATCCCCTCCTCTACCTAACAGACTCTGCTTAAGGAGGGATAGAGGGGGCCCTTCTGATGGAACCTAGACTGCCCAGGTTTTTCCCCTCTGAACTATAGGGGATCAGATCCAGTACTGGCCTTTTTCAGCCTCTGATTTGTATAATTGGAAGACTCATAACCCCTCTTTTTCTCAGGATCCTCAGGCTCTAACTGCTTTAATAGAGTCTATTCTCCTCACCCACCATCCCACCTGGGAGGATTGTCAGCAACTCCTCCAGGCCCTTCTAACCACAGAAGAAAGACAGCGAGTCATCCTGGAGGCCCAGAAAAATGTCCCCGGGCAGGATGGGAGACCCGCTCTGCTCCCAAATGAAATAGATGCAGGTTTTCCTCTGACCAGACCCAACTGGGACCCTGAAACCGTGGCCGGTAGGGAGCGTCTCCATCTTTATCGCCAGACTCTGTTAGCGGGTCTTAAAGGGGCCAGAAGGTGCCCAACCAATTTGGCAAAGGTATGTGCTATAACCCAAGGAGAAAATAAAACCCCTGCAGGGTTTCTAGAATGCCTGACAGAGGGATATCGGATGTACACCCCTTTTGATCCCACAGCCCAGGAGCGTCAGGCAGATCTTATTATGGCCTTTATAGGACAATCAGCTCCTGATATCCATGGTAAGCTCCAACGGCTGGAGGGCCTTCAGGGGTACTCTTTACAGGATTTAGTAAGGAAAGCTGAGAAAATCTACAATGAGCGAGAGACCTCAGAGGAAAGAGAGGACAGAATTAGAAAAGAACAGGAAGCCAGAAAAGATAAGAGAGAGAAAAAGAGAAACAAAGAGTTGAGTCAAATTTTGGCCACAGTAGTTCAGGGAACAGGACCGGGTAGGGACCTGGGAGACAAAAGAAGACCCCGAG